CCAATGTCCACCCTCATCATTCCCTGGGGATCTTGCTCCTCCCTTCCCCTGCTGTTCTGCAGCACTCCCCCAGTGCTTTGCCTCAGTGTGGCAGGATCAGATTGGGTCCAATTCCCACACTGTGTCTCTGGTGTTGTCCCCCGCACGGCCATGGGTCAGTGAGGGGCATCATATCTCATAGTGTGGCTGGCCATGTGGTCCTCTCTGTGGACTGGCTGCTCTAATTGGGGTCATAGTCCTCAAGGCCTGGTGAGCCAGGATGTGCTCCAGTCTATGAATTATATTTGAATTTAAGGTCTTTCCCAGCTAAAACAACACCTATATTTCAATGTTATTTATATAATTGTAAGTAAGTCGAGAAGGAACCCTGGTGGCGTAGTTGGGCTACTAACCACAATGTTAGTAGTTCACATGCACCAGCTGTACAAGAGGGATGAGGCTTTCTATTACTAAAGATTTGCCGTCTTGGAAACCCACAGGAGTAGTGCTTCTCTGTCCTGCAGAGTCCACTCGAGTCAGAATGGACTCGATGCCAGTGAGTTTAGTTGGTCTTTGTTCTGGTAGAAATTTGGATTTAACATCAGGAAAGTAAATGATATCACTAAGCAAAGACATGTAGGGAAGGGAAGGACAATGAGACCTGTGCTCTGAGGTGCTCAACATTTAGAAGTTAAGAAGATGGGAGGACAACAAGATGAGAAGAACCACTGAGATCGAGTGTAGAAACAAGACAGTCTGGCATTCATGGAAACATAAAAAGAAACGGTTTCAAAAAGTGTGTGATCAATTGAGTAAAATGCTGCTGATAAATAAAATGAAAACTCAAAATGGAGCGTTAGATAAGGCAAGCTGCATAATTTTGGGGGGTCCAGTGCAATGAAAACATGGGAACCCTTGTTAAAAGTTATGAATAATTTCAAGATGGCAACAGCAGAGCATTATTCTAGGCATGAAATCTGTCTAAGCATTTGCACAGGTTGCATTGCTAGGAAGCTGATCCTGAGTTCCAGTTTTACAACATGAGGGACATTGGTGACCAAGGTGTGGAACTCCATTGCAATAAACAATTTAGCTTTTGGTCTTGATTACTGAGTGCTGGACCAGACGTGAAGTCAATTAGAGGGTCCTGACCAGAGTAACAGGGAACATGTGCAGTTAGATCTGCCTAAGTGTATGACCACGTGATGACAACAAAAACGCCTAGCAAGATGGACGCTCAAAGAACTTTTAGAGTAGAGAGAGCCAACAATTGCTCTAAGAGAGTAAATGTTTCTTTGGGGACGTGGAAACTGTGTAGAGATCTCTCCTAGACTTTATACGTTTGTATTTTCTGCTAGATAGCCCTTTTCATGGAGTTGGCAAGTGGTTCCCACCAGGCCAAAGAAACAGAGGGTGGGAGAGTATCCTCGAATCTAGCCCCAGCGGGTAGGGGTTGAGGAAGAAAACAGTTACAGAAAGCAACGGAGGTTTGAATTGATCAGCCGAGAAACTCGGGCTTCTGCAAAATACAGTTTGCTTGTGGAATGGGATTTACAGCTCACCATGTGTTGTTAGGGGTGGGTGAACTTAACCTCTCTTGACTTGTTTGATATAATTGGCACCATGAATAAGGCTAGTTAGAACCCTGACAATGTAGTGACAATTATACGAGCAGTTTCGATAGAGTTGTAGGGACAGCAGCCCTAAACAGATTGGGTACTAGAGAGAGTTGAGGAAAGAAAGTATTAGTATCATGTGTAGATGTAGATTGAGGAGCTCAGTCGAGGCCCGAATCCCACCTATGATCTTTCAGACCTGACTGCAAACAATTTCAAGTCTTTCTGGCAGGCTTCATAGGTGGAAAGCTGCACACCTTTCTCACATCAGGCAGGGTGCATAGGCAGTACATTGCTGTTTGGGGGAGGGCGTTGGAGTCAAGGACTCTGTCCCTTCTTCTTTTGCTTTTATGTCTGTGCCAGTTTGTATTCCCAGGCACTTCCATTTGGAGGACTCATTTTTGGAGTGCTTCAATAGATGTATTTCCTGGGCATCTCAGCTGAGATCTCCTAACTGGGGGCCATGGCAAAGGCATTTTATTTTGGATTGGGTTACTCCTTGTCCTGCCTTTGTAGTCAATGGAACGATAAAAAGTCAGAAGCCTTTTGTTTGAGGACCTGCAGTGACAGTTTCTCTCGGCAATGCTGATTCACTTAATTTTCACCTATGTCTTTTTCTAAGGAAAATGGAACACTGAGAGGTGGTGGCACTTTTGACCTCTCACTCCCACTGTTGATTGCTGTCCTAATTGACCACCTGGGTACATGATTGTTCCGTAAGACAGAAATCTCAAATGCAAGTAAAATTTTGCTGAAGGTTAGCCAACGACAGTTGCAGTAGTAAATTGAGAGGGAGCTGCCAGAAATGATGGCGTGATTCAGAAGAGGATGGGGAACAAGAGAATTAAATCATAGCTGATGTCAGATGGATCTTGCTTGGCTACAAGCAGAGAATACCAGAACGATGTTTACTTGTGTTTTATTGACTATGCAAAGGCATTTGGCTATGTGGATCATAATAAACTATTTATAGCCTTGAGAAGAATGGAAATTCCAGTACATTTCATTATGCTCCTGTGGAACTTGTACATGGATCAAAAGGCAGAACAAGGGAAAATTGCATGGCTTAAAATTAGGAGAGTTGTGCACCAAGGTTGTATCCTCTTTCAAACTTACTCAATTTGTATGCTGAGCAAATCATCAGGGACACTGGATTTTATGAAGAAGAATGTGGCATCAGGGTTGCAGGAAGGCTTATTAATAGCCCGTGATATGTAGATGACACAACCTTGCTTGCCGAAAGTGAGAAGGCCTTGAATCACTTGGTATTGACGATCAAGGATTGCAGCCTTCAGTATGGATTATAGTTCAATGAAAAGAACACCAAATACCTCACAAATGGATGAACATGATGATAAATGGAGAAAAGGTTGAAGTTGTCAGGCAGTCAAGAGATCAAAAGATATGTTGCACTGGGCAAATCTGCTGCACAAGACCCCTTTTGAGTACTGAAAAGCAAGGATGTTGCTTTAAGGACTAAGGTGCGCCTGCATGAAGCCATGGTATCGTCAGTACCCTCGTATGCGTATGAAAGTGGGACGAGGAAGACTGAAGAAGAATAGATCTGTGTGAACTGTGGTGCTGGCGCAGAATATAAAAAGTCCCATGGCCTGATCAAAGGATAAACAAATCTGTCTTGGAAGAAGTAAGTCCAGACAGCCCCTTGCCATTGGTCCTAGGAGCTCAGTCAGTGGGCAGAGAGGCATCGGCCACGCAACCAGCTTCAAGAAAGTTCTCTGAGCCCTGCTGTCCTCAGGCACCTGGCAAGCACCTTTCTCACAGCCAAGATGCTCCAAAGGAAGGCCTTCTTGGCGGAAAAGGCAGAGAAGGCGGAGTCTAAGAGAAGGTCAAAAATGGAGATGAAGCCCCAACAGGCAGCCAGGAAGGATAAATCCTCAGACAAAAGAGTGCAAGCAAAAGGGAAAAAGGGAGCAAAGGCAAAAGAGGCTGAAGTAGCTCATCACGAAACTAAAGGAGATTTGCCTGCTGAAAATGGAGAAATGAAAGGCGAGGAGATTCCAGCCTCTGATGAAGCAGGAGTAAAAGAAGCCAAGTCTGATTAATGTTTCTCTACCATGTCTTTTCATTGGGCCCTGTTATCTCCTTTCTCGTACAATCTCGAGGAATATTTTCATTGACTATTTTATAAATGCAAGTGTTTTAGTAGTTCTAGAAATATTTTTAAGCAGGTGGAAATCCCACTTCATCCCATTAAAAAAAAAAAGTAAATGCTTTTTTTAAAAGACGTGAAATCATTTACTAGTTGCTTATTTTCTGGTACAACCAGAAAATTGTGGGAATATTTGACTGTCATGGAATGGGGGCCAGGGCGCATTTAGTATCCCTAATACAAAACACATGTAGTGACAATTTGAAGTCACTGTCATGCGTTTGTATGACTTGAACATTTAAATTTTTGTTTCCATGTTATTGTTGTTGTTTTTAAATAGAATTATGTATTAAAACCATTCTGTCATTATGGTTTTCTTGTCAGAACTGTGTCCATTGTGTAACACCTTTGATTGTTGGAGTCCAGTTTTCCTGATTACTTTGTCCGTTTGTTTGTTTTATAAATCATTTTCTTGCAGACTCTTACAGCTCTTATAACAATCCACACATCAATTGTATAAAGCGCATTTGTACATATGTTGCCATCATCCTTTTCAAAACATTTATTTTTCTAGTTGAGCCCTTGGTATCAGCATCTCTTTTTTCTCTCCTTTCTTCTTCCACCCTCCCACCCTTGTAAACCCTTGATAAATTATAAATTAATATTATTTTCATATATTACATCATTTGCCATCTCCCTTCACCCTCATTTTTGTTGTTCGTCTCCCGTTTGCGGGGGGTGTATACATCGATTGTTGCCATTGGTACCCCCTTTCTCCCCCTACCTTCCCTCTATCCTCATGGTATCACTACTCCCATTACTGCTCTTGAGCGGTTTATCTGTCCTGGATTCTGTGTGTCGAGAGCTCTTATCTGTACCAGTGTACATGCTCCAGTCTAGCTAGATTTGTAAGGTGGAACTGGGGTCATGACAGTGGGGGGAAAGAAGCATTAAAGAAATAGAGGAATATTGTGTGTTCCATCGGTGCTATACTGCATCCTAGTTGGCTTGTTCTCTCCTTGTGACCCTTCTGTGAAGGGATGTCCAATTGTCTACAGATGGGCTTTGGGTCTCCACTCTGACCTCCCTCATTTGCATCCATATAATTGTTTGTTTGGGGTCTTCTGATGCCTGATCCCATCAATACCTCATGATCACACAGGCTGGTGTACTTCTTCCATGTCGCTTTTGTTGCTTCCCTGCTAGATGGCTGATTGTTTAACTTAAAGCCTTTAAGACCCCAGATGCTGTATCTTTTAATAGGCAGGCACCATCGACTTTCTTTACCACTTTTGCTTATGTATCCATTTTTTTTTCAGTGATCGTGTCAGGAAGGTGAGCATTACAGAATGCCAGGTTATTAGAACAAAGTGTTCTTGCATCGAGGGAGTACTTGAATAGAGACCCAATGTCTGCCTGCTACCTTAATACTTAACATTTAAATATGTGTACATACACCTATATCCTTATCATAATATATTAATATATTTACATATGTACATGCCTATGTTTATATCTCTATAATTGTCTTTTACCTCCTAGTTCTTTCTTCTATTTCGTTTTACTTTCCTCCAGTCCCACTATCGTGTTTGACCTTCATTCAACTCTCAGTAATTACTCTAGGCTACATTGTCCTTAATCAACCCCACCAGGCATTCTATGCCTTGCTCGCCATCGATTTTAGATCTTTTGTTTTTCCCTTGTCCGTGGATTTGTTGGCTCCTGATAACTTTGTTTTATGCTGTGAAGGGTTGAACATTTGAGTGTGTAGTTTGTGTGACATTAAATTGTGAATTAGTGGGACTTAAGATGTAACAGCTTATCAGCATTTGAAGATAATGGTACTTGATTGACTCTTTTTTAAAATGGACTCCAAATTTAAAGCTGGAAAGTCACTTGAATTTACAAATGAATTGTATCTACATGCCATTTGAGGATTTTGGTACATGCATTAAGAATTGTTTACAAATTGTTCATAAAGTACTGATCTCAAAACAACAAATAAAATGCCAGTTATAAAAGAAAAATAATATAGAAGTAAATCCGGAGTGCTCCATAGAGGCAAGGGTGGTGAGACTTAGCCTCACATACCTTGGACAAGTTTTTCAGGAGAGACCAGTCCCAGGAGAAGGATCACATGCTTGGTCAAGAAAAAAAAGGAAGGCCCTGAAGCAGATGGGGTGGCACAGTGGCTGCAACAATGGGATCAAGCATAAGAACCAATTTGAGGATGGTGCAGGACTCAGCAGGGTTCAGTTCTATTGTGCATAAGGTCACTATATGTTGGAACTGAATCCCTTGCCCCTCACAATAACAGCAAGATGTGTTATTATCCTAAGGCTGTCATAATAAAATACTACTGAATGGGCAGCTTTAAGGAGTTTTGGTGGCCAGAAATCTGAATTCAGGGCATGGATTCTAGGGGAAGAGGGAATTTTGCCTCTTCCAGATTATAGTAGTTGCCCACAATCCTTGGTGTCCCTGGGCTTATAGATTCATTTATTTTTACATGGAATGGTTGGTGTCTGTGTGTGTGTGTGTGTGTGAGAGAGAGAGAGAGAGAGAGAGAGAGAGAGAGAGAGAGAGATTGTCTTTATAAGATTCCACTTAGGGACTCACGAGCCTCTAATAAAACGATTTAAAAAAAAGAAAGGAAAAGAAAAACAAATAAATAATTTTTTTTTAATCATAAGCTGATACCAAGGGTTCAAGTAGAAAACAAATGTTTTGACAATGATGAGGGCAACAAATGTACAAATGTGCTTGACGAAATGATGTGTGTATGGTGATAAGAGTTGTATGAGACACCAATAAAATGATTAAAAAAAGATTCCACTTAGAAGGGATTAGATTTAGGGTCCACCCTATTCCAGTACAGTCAGATTAACTTAATAAAAGGAACCCCTTATTTCCAAATAGGCTCATATTTAGAGATACAGGAGTTAGGACTTGAAAATATCGTTTTGGGAGAGCCAATTCAATCCAAATCAAACTGTACTCCCCTGGAAGAGAATGGTGAGTGAACAAATAAATAGTTATACAAACATTTTAAAGCAAAAATGCTAAATGCAGTGAAGTTATTTTTTTACAGAGGAATGCTAACCTTGATGTGAAATGAGAAACCTCAAGCTGGGGTTTACAGAATTTTCAAGCATTATGGTCACCTACTTTGATAGATAAAAGAGAGTATTTGATTTGTAGCCAGAACCACTTTTTGAAAAGATTAAAATATGCTATTATATATGCTATACTTCTGAAAAGAATAACAAGTTAAGAATTTTCTGTTTTTAAAATGTTTATTATTCTTTTCTCATAGCCAAGGCAATATATCTTCATCAAAGAACAGTTGAGAAATAAGTAATATTATAAGGAGTAAAATAAAAGCCACTATCCAGAGATGCTCTCAGTTAACATTAACATTTATCTTTTTTCCCCCCAGTGATATAGCTTAAACTGAGCTCATTATTTTAGTATAGTTTTATACTTTGCTATTTTTGTTCCTTTATATTATAAGGACTCTCTCTGTTGTTAAAAAATGGTTCTACAACATTCATTATAATGGCAACAGTATATTCTACCATATGGGTGTATTGTAATTTATTTAAGCATTTCTTTATTGTTGGTAATTTGTATTACAGATTTTTTGTGGCTAATCTAAAAATATCATGAAACAAATGATAAGTTCTGGTCATTATTTTTTCATCAATTGATCTTTATGAGCTTAGAAGAGTGGAATCGGCTGGCAGTTATCAGTTTCTCCCCCCCCTCACCCAGGTCTTTGATATTTCACTCTGCACTATCTAAAATAAAGTTTATCCCTTTCCTTCTAAAGAATAATTTCAGGGAGGCAGTCTACATTTTTTAAACATCTGAGCTATGGAGAAGACAGATTTTTTGTCTCTCTCTCTTCTCTTTCTCTAATCCTTTAAGATAACACAGCAGGAAGAAAACACTTGAAAGCAAAATACTGGCATAAAAGCTACACAATCTTTTTTAGATAACACCACTGCACCTCTTTTGAAATTGGACTCTACTTGTAGTTTACATTTGGTTACAGCTGAAGTTCTTAAGAGTCTATGAAGATGGAAGTAATGTGGGGAGATAAGAGTAGACACCTACTACTTTTCTTGTCTCTATTTCTATTTGCAGGTGACTTGGAAATTCCCAGATTAGAGAGCATAACAACTTGGTATTAAGGAGCATGAAAATTCCCAGAACACCTGTTTTAAAACTACACTGTTCTGCTGATGAATTGCCCAAGCTTTTAAAAATGATTCATCATTAATCACTACAAAAATAGGCTTAACAATTCATAAGCTCAAAAATAAGACTATTTTATCAGCTCCATATTTATTAAACCATATTACACTGACTACATTTGGAAAGAGAAAATTAAAAATGTTCATCCCTGAAAATGACATGTCTCCAGTGCTCTAGTATATCCATTAAAGTGACATTTATTAAAAGAAGAAATATTTGTTAATATTTTCCCAAAGGAGACGAACATTTATAGATCTTTTGTCTGTATGCTATGTAGATCATATATTTAACTATACAGAACTATGTGGTGCTGTACATCCTGGATGAGAGTATAGTTTCTTTGAAATTCCCTGTCACTTGGGATTATTTCAAAGTGTTCCACATCTCCATTTCTCAGTCACAGATGAGAACACTGAGGCCAGCATGGTTCAGTTGTGAGATCAAGGTCACATCTGTGCTCAAACAAAGCTTTGAGGAGAACTAACAGACCCTAGGTTTCCAATCTGTTGCTGAGCCAGTGAGTGAATCTGTCAGTGTTTTTCGGTTACTGTGCACTTCAGCTTTGCTGTTCCACACCTGCCTGGGGTTCATCCTAATCAGTGTGAAACCAGGAGTTTTAATGGGAATGCCCACAGGCTGGCATGTCTTTGCTCATGTGCTTTAGAAGCATGTTGTGTACTAGGGAAGCTGTAG